TGCACTAGCCAAAGCTTGTTAATAAGACTTTTTGTTGTTTCCATGAGACACTTTAAAAGAGCTGGTTAACTCAGAACCTCTATTCCATGCTTTTTTAGTTATAAACATTAGACTTTCTACTATTTTATTCCTCTTGCTGCAGGATATATTATATCAAACAAAAAAAGCATTGAATATATCTACTAGATTAGGATTCTCCATTGTATGTTATATAGATCACCTGAAACAGAGTCTCTTGAAAGATGGGAGGACAGCATTCCTGTTCAAAAATGTTGATTCATGGGCTTTATTCAAATTTAATGAACCGGAAATTGGGGGCAGAGGACACTGGAATTTGCAATTAAACAAACTCTCCAGATGACTCTTAAGCAAACCGAATTTTAGAAACAGTCCCCTGTAGACAATATTTCATGAAACATGTCTGTACTTGTTCCAATTAGAACTCCTAGGAACATGTAGATAGTCACTTTATAAGCGATAGATACATATTTGAGAAATTAATAAACCTATGAATGAATTAATGAACTATGAGAACTGAGGCAAGACTCACAAAGATTTTGGTCTTATATAAAGCCATTCACTAAATTCACCTTTCTCTCAAAGCCCAAAGAGGTCAAAGTAGTTAGAAAATAGAAGACACTAGTCCTCGTGTTGCATGTTAATATGAACTAGCATTGTTCACATACCAGGTGCATGCTATCTGATAAACGAAAGAATGTGTTTGAATGGATTTACTCAGATGTTGTCGCTGTAATCTGGGGAGGCAAGCACAGCGCTATTCAACTTCACTCTGGCCACACTTCAACCGAGCTTACTCGGCATTTGTGCTGGCAGTAACGGCAGTGAAGCAAGCTTAAGTTAGAATTCCAAAAAATAGGTGACAACTCTGTAGCAGGGGCATTTCATACACCTCTGTAACAGTCAAACACATGGCTTAACAGAAGAAAATATTATTTGGCATGTGTAAGATATCTTCATGCATATTCATGAGGTCCTAGTTTTTTTAATTGTACTAATTCACTTAGTGAACATTTAAAGATAAATGTGCAAATTTTCTATAATCTTTGGTTATTTGTGCTCATCAATTGCCAGTACAGTGTGTAATTACTGGAATTTTTTAGAATATTGTATATTTAAAGATGGGAACTACTAAGTATGAGGTGATTTGAAAGATTAAAATCTCATAAACTTGAATATTTTAATCTCTAATATGTGCTGATTCTATATTAAGATTTTTGTATTATTGTGAATGAATTTATAAGTAGTATTTAAGGCAATCTT